TATTCTCCTCCTACAGGATTTTCGGCAAGATGATCTGCCAAAGCTTGTCCTTTGACTGCCTTCTGAGTTACATAAATGATATCGAACTCACTCAGCAATATTTGCCACTTGGCCAACTTCCCGGTAGGCATAGGCTTCTGAAAGATGTACTTTAGAGGATCATCATTGATATGAGGTATGTGGTATAGGCACAAAAGTAATGCCTCAATATCTGAGCTGTCCATGTCAAAGCACAGCAAGTGCGTTCTAGCAGAGAGTACTGTGCTTCATAAGGTGTAAACTTCTTACTCAAGTAATATATGTCTTGCTCCTTTCTTCCCGCCTCATCCTGTTGTCCCAAAACACAACCGAAAGCCCCATCTAGTACGGACAGATAGAGTAGCAAAGGTCTTCCAGGTTCTGGCGGGACTAGGGCTGGCAGTGTGGACATGTATTCCTTGATTTTGTCAAAAGCCTTCTGACAATCCTCGGTCCAACTGGTTGCAGCATCCTTCTTTAACATTTTGAAAATTGGTTCACATATTACTGTGGACTGTGCTCAGCTAATGTAATTGAGGCGTCCCAGGAAACTCATCACGTTCTTCTTGCTCTTCGGTGGTGGTAATTCTTGGATAGCTTTAACCTTTGACGGGTCCAACTCGATTCCTCGGCGGCTGACGATGAATCCTAGCAGTTTTCCGGTATGAACCCCGAATGCACATTTTGCGGGGTTCAGTTTTAAATTGTACTTCTGTAGCCGGTCAAAGTACTTCCTCAAGTCTACTATGTGATCTGTGGCTTTCTTGGATTTGATGATGACGTCGTCAACATATACCTCTATTACCTTGTGTATCGTATCATGGAAGATGGTCGTCATGGCCCTCATATAAGTGGCCCCAGCATTCTTGAGACCGAATGGCATCATTTTGTAGCAATACACTCCCCATGGTGTAATGAAAGCTATTTTCTCTGTGTCTTCTTCGTCCATCCAAATCTAATGATAACCCGCGAAGCAATCTACAAAGGATTGGAGTTCATGCTTGGCGCAATTATCGATTAGAATGTGTATGTTCAGTAGTGAGAAATCGTCCTTGGGACTTGCTCTGTTTAGATCCCGATAGTCAACACACACCCTGACTTTTCTATCCTTCTTCGGAACCGGTACAATATTGGCTAACCAGGTTGGGCACTCAACTACTCTGAGAACTTTGGCTTTAATCTGCTTAGTAACTTCTTCCTTGATTTTTAGGCTCATGTCTAGTTTGAAATTTCTGAGTTTCTGCTTCACTGGCGGACACATTGGATTGGTAGGCAACTTATGAGCCACTATGGATGTGCTCAGGCCAGTCATGTCATCATATGACCATGCAAAAATATCCTCATATTCTTTCAAGAAACGAGTTTATTCTTTCTTTTCTGACGGTGATAGGTGAATGCTTATGCGAGCTTCTTTGATGGTTTCGGAATCTCCCAAATTGATTACCTTGGTTTCGTCCAGGTTGGACTTAGGTTTGTTCTCAAAATTCTTGACTTCTCTGATAACTTCCTCAGGTATTTCATCCTCTTCTTCCGAGTCACTATCCTTATGTCGCGTTGTCTTATTACATGTCACAGTCGTTGGTTCATCAAGGTAAGAAATAGTATGCCCGGGACTCGGCTGGCCCTTGATGGCGTGGCGGTCCAGTTCTTGAGAAATGCTCCCCTCTCCACTGTCTGAATGGTAAGGCCTTCTTCCTCCTCCTCCTCAACTATCACATTGCAATCCATATCCTCATCTTCTAGAAACAGGTTTCTCAGCCCAGCCAAAGCTTCCTCCTCTACAGATCCCCATATAGTGTCGGCCTAGTGAAAGGTATGACTCAGATGCAACACTGGCTGCTCAAGAGGGTAATAAGGACCATGCCATGGTGGCGACCAATCATCATGCTCCTGCCTGGTATACTGATACCCAAGTCCAAAGGCAGTGCCATGACGTTTCGGTTGTATTGGCTTAGTGATGCCCTGGATATTCTTCCCGATCCCTTTGTCAGGGTCATACCCTGACCATGCCAGTATGATTTCTATTTTGCTACTCCACCATTTATCTTTCTCACATGCTCGATGCGGTGATAAGTTTCTCCACCCAACTTCCTATTATTCTCGATAACTGGGATAGTCTGACTGGTGTAAATGGGATTACTTCCAACACCGTGAATGACTACCTCCTGATGGTTCCATTCAAACTTCACGGCCTAGTGTAGCGTGGAAGCCACAGCTCCAGCGGCGTGTATCTAAGGTCGTCCCAGTAAAAGATTGTATGTAGCAGATATGTCTAATACTTAGAACTCAACATCGAACCAAGTCGGCCCATCTACAAATAAAGGTCAATGTCCCCAATTGTGGCCCTTTGAGACCCATCAAATGCCTTCACATTCATACTCCATGCTCGTATCTCATGGAAATCTTTACCCAGCCTTTTCAGAGTAGTCAATGGACAAATGTTAAGGCTTGAACCTCCATCTATTAAGTCTCTGGCGATGAATTTGTCCTCAAACTGTACTGTGATATGCAGCGCCCTGTTGTGACTTAATCCTTCAGGTGGTAGTTCATCTTCGTGAAAGGTGATCTTGTGGCTCTCCAGTACTTGCCCTACCATGTTGGCCATCTCTCCACTGGTGATGTTGTTAGGCGCATAAGCTTCATTCAACACCTTCATCAGAGCATTCCTATGCGCCTCAGAATTTTGTAGCAGCGACAAGATGGATATCTAGGCCGGAGTCTTGTTCAGATGATCAACGATAGAGTATTCTCTTGCCTGTACTGTCCTCCAGAGATCATTTGGACCAGTTTCAATAATGGGTTGTTTGGTAGCAGCTTCCTTGCTTGTTCCTCCCAAATTCTCGGGTGTATAGATCTTTCCAATTCTGGTCATCCCCTGTGCAGCACCAAACTCTTCCATTTTTGCTTTTCCCTTTGTCCTAGCTTTAGCAACATAATCCCAGTGTCATGACCCAAAATCTACTAAGGGTCATGACGACGCCGGACACCGTTGTCAGGCAAGCCAACACTAATGTATGCGGTGAAATCAGAGGGCTCGATTTCCTGCCATCAAGCCATCTCGGGGAGATAGCTCGATATCCCGAGGATATGACGCCGCCTCGGTTAGAAATCTCGAGACCCCGAGGATAAAAAGCCACAGCTCAGTCCTTTCCTTCAGGGTCTATCAAGACCGGATTCGAAGCTGAGATCGGGATAAAGAAAGGAGTTCCCCAAGGCATGCGGTTGAATCTGATAGGATCGGCCTATCCCTAGCCTCTGCTGGGATATCAAGTCAAGCCGTCACATCTACATATATATATATATATTCGTTACTAAGTCTCCCCTCCTATAAAAAGGGGAATCGCCCTTCCTTGTAAACAATTGTTGTTGCTCCCATAATTCTACAAAGTGAAATAATATCTCTCTCTCTCTCTCTCTCTCTCTCTCTTTTCTTACAAAAGCTCATTGGTTATCACTGATACTGAGGATACCTCGATATCCTTTGCCTTTGAACGTGTTCTTCATTTTACAAATATCTCTTCATCGTACAAACTCAATTTCGGTTATAAATTGCTCCGTGTTATTATATTTCTAGCTGTTAGGTTACACCCGAATACCCCCGACGACCCGAGCTCGACCCCGAGGTCGACCTCGAAGTCCCATCCGACAAAGCTTACGCCCGGGTAGCCGACCCTTTGGTTTGCCCGTTATCTCGTTTATCTACCGCCCTATCGCTAAATTTCATAATACTAGCATCATTTGCTTTAACAAACTAGCTCAGGAATAGATCACGTATTATTAGAGTCCCATTTAACAAATTTAATTGTAGTTACCATTTTCACGGTAAACAGTTTGGCGCCCACCGTGGGGCTAAAAATAATAGTGATTATTTTATTGCTAGTTTCATTACACAAACGCATATCATCTTTCATGCTCTTTTTTGCCCAAGATCCTTTGATTTCAGGTATAAATGTCTGGCTCGGTGAACAGAGCTGAGAACGACCACCTCGATGATTGCGGGGAAAATAGTGTAGCTATCTCGGCCGCCGGAACACCGCTACAAGATCCCAATAACGCACTCGGACCATACTAGTGGACGCGGACTCACGGGACGCACAGCAAGTCGGCGAAACTTCCCACACCAACCGAGAAGCCGACATCCATATGATCATTGGTGGAGCCGACGCCCCTAGAGCGCCCGCCTCCAAACGAGCGAGGACACCCGCTACAAAAGAATGGTCAGCCCGGGAGAGCCTGCGTGAAGAAATCCTCGTATTCAGTGATGAAGACCTCGAAGCTATGATGGAACCGCACAACGGCGCTCTTGTCATCTCGTTCCTTTCGAACAACACCAGAATAAAGCGTGTGCTCGTGGATCCAGGCAGTTCAGTCAACATAATCGGGTCAGAAGTAGTAGAACAACTAGGATTGCTCAATCGAGTCATCCACACCTCTCGGGTCCTCCACGATTTCAACATGGTCGGAGAGGAAACGAAGGGAGAAATCATTATCCCGATCGACACGTCCGGCACGACCCAGAACGCAGAGTTTCATGTCATCAGCGGTGATATGAAATACAACGCCCTACTTGACAGACCTTGGATACACAAAATAAGGGCCGCACCCTCGACCTTGCACCAGGTAATAAGGTTCCCTACCAGGGACGGTATCACAAACATACATGGGGAACAGCAAGCAGCAAGGGAAATGTTTGTGGCCCACCGCGAGACACAATTCCCGCATACCCGGCCTTGGATGGGGAGGGAAGCACACAGACCCTTGAAGACGACGAGGAAGACTTCTTCGCACCCCAGACCTTTGTTGCTCCCGAAGAATCCGACGCGACCAAGTCAATAGTCTAGGAGCTGGAGCAAACCATTTTGGTCAAACACCTCCTGGATAGCAAGGTATACTTGGGTACGGGGCTGACCCCCGAACTCAGGGCAGAATTTATTCAATTCCCCAGTAATAATAACGACTGCTTCGCTTGGTCCCATCTAGATATGAGAGGTATCCCACTAGAGATAGCATCCCACAGACTAAGCGTTAACCCCAAGTTCAGGCCCGTGAAGCAAAAAAGGAGACCGCAGTCCGAGGTGAAACACGCCTTCGTCAAAGAGGAATTGGCGAAACTACTTAAAATTGGATCCATCAGGGAGGTAAAGTATCCCGAGTGGCTGGCTAACGTAGTAGTAGTACCAGAAAGGGGAATAAGCTAAGAATGTGTGTAGACTATAAAGACTTGAACAAGGCGTGCCCAGAAGATTCCTTCCCTCTACCCAATATCGATCGCTTGATCGATGCTACGGCCGGCCACGAGACCCTCACTTTTCTCGATGCCTACTCGGGGTATAATCAGATCCAGATGAACCCCGAAGATAGGGAAAAAACCTCATTTATCACAAAATATGGAACATATTGTTATTACGTAATGCCCTTCTGGCTAAAAAACACAGGAGCAACGTATCAACGGCTAGTTAACAAAATGTTCGAGCACCAGGTAGGAAAATCAATGGAGGTATATATTGATGATATGCTAGTAAAGTCCCTGCGCGCAGAGGACCATTTGACCCATTTGCAGGAAACCTTTGACATCCTCAGAAGCTACAACATGAAGCTCAATCTCGAGAAATGCGCCTTTGGAGTAGGCTCGGGTAGATTCCTGGGCTTCATGGTCTCAAACAGGGGGATCGAAATCAATCCCGATAAAATAAAGGCCATCGAAGAGATTACGGCGGTAAATAACGTAAAAGCCGTCCAGCGGTTAACGGGGCAGATCGCGGCCCTAGGCAGATTCATATCGAGATAGTCAGACAAAAGCCACCATTTCTTCGCCCTGCTTTAAAAGAAGAACAACTTCGAGTGGACTTCAGAATGCCAGCACGCCCTAGAGGAACTGAAATGATACCTGTCCAGCCCGCCATTGCTGCGCATGCTCGAGCAGGGTGAAACGCTATATTTGTATCTGGCAGTATCCAAAATAGCGGTAAGCGGAGTGTTGGTCTGAGAAGAGCAAGGTACACAATTTCCTGTTTATTACGTAAGCCGCACCTTGGGGGACGCCGAAACCCGGTACCCCCACCTAGAAAATCTGGCGCTCGCGCTAATAAGCGCATCGCGTAAACTGAAGCCTTATTTTCAGTGCCATCGTATCTGCGCCCTGACGACCTATCCCCTATGGAGTATACTTCATAAACCCGAGCTATCAGGTCGATTGGCCAAATGGGCTATCGAACTCGGAGGGTATGACATCGAGTATCAACCTCGAACAGCCATTAAGTCCCAAATCCTGGCGGATTTCGTGGCCGACTTCTCGTCGGCCGTCGTACCCGAGGTAGAGAAAGAGTTTTTATCAAAATCAGGAACTTCCTCCGGGGTATGGACCCTGTTCACGGATGGCGCCGCGAACGTAAGAGGGTCCGGACTTAGTATAGTCCTGAGGCCGCCTGTCGGCGGCATAATCAGACAGTCCATAAAAACCACTAAACTGACTAACAACGAAGCCGAGTATGAGGCTATGATTGCAGGTCTAGATTTGGCCAAAGGTTTGGGAGCTGAGATCGTGGAGGCAAAACGCGACTTGCTCCTCGTGGTAAGCCAAGTAAACGGAAGCTACAAAGCCCGATAGGACAGGATGCAAAGGTATTTGGACAAAATCCAAATCGCGTTACGTCGCTTCAAAGAATGGACTTTAGTACACATACCCGAGATCAAAATTGCGAGGCTGATGCCCACGCAAACTTGGGGTCCTCCGCCGAAGAAGAAGACCTGCTCCCCGGAACCGTCGTCCAACTGTTCGAATCGGCGGTCGAGGACGGCCACGCAGAAATCAACTCCACCAGCCTGACATGGGTCTGGAGAAACAGATACATCGCTTACCTGAAAGACGAAAAAGTACCCACGGATCCAAAAGAGTCAAGGGCCCTGCGAACCAAAGCAGCCCGGTTCCCACTCGACAAAAACGGGGCCCTTTACAGGAGAACATTTGATGGTCCCCTGGCGATATGCTTGGGACCAGGCGACACAGAATACGTGCTTCGAGAGATCCATGAGGGCACATGCAGAAATCATTTCGGGGCCGATTCCTTGGTCCGGAAGGTGATCCGAGCGGGCTACTATTGGGATAGCATGGAGAAAGATGCCAAAGAATTCGTCCGGAAATGCGAAAAGTGTCAAAGGTTCGCCCCCATGATCCACCGGCCTGGAGAACAGCTGCATTCCATTTTATCACCATGGCCATTCATGAAATGGGGGATGGACATTGTCGGTCCTTTACCAACGGCGCCAGGTAAGGCCAGATTCATCTTATTTATGACTGACTATTTCTCAAAGTGGGTGGAGGCGCAGGCCTTCGAGAAAATAAGAGAGAAGGAAGTCATCAATTTTATATGGGAACACATCATATGCTGGTTCGGAATCCCGTCCGGAATAACTTGCGACAATGAGAGGCAATTCGTCGGAGGCAAGGTAACGCAGTTCCTTGAGGACAACGGAATCAAGAGAATCCTGTCGACACCATATCACCCGTGTGCAAACGGTCAAGCCGAATCTACAATTAAAACCATCATTCAAAATTTGAAAAGGAAGCTGGAAAGCGCCAAAGGGAAATGGAGGGAAACGCTGCCCGAAGTACTGTGGGCATACCGAACAACTACGAAATTGAGCACCGACGAGACGCCTTTCTCTCAAGTATACGGCGCCAAAGCACTGATACCGGTGGAGGCCGGAGAGCCAAGCGCCAGATTCCAACACATCGGCGAGGAATCAAATAACGAATCTATGGCAACGGCCCTCGAACTCCTCGACGAAAAACGGGAAGCCTTGCTAGTTCGGATGGCTGCCCAGAAATAGAAAATCGAAAGATACTACAACAGGAGAACAAATCTCCGACACTTCGGAGTCGGAGACCTGGTTCTAAGGAAAGTCACCCTCAACACCAGAAACCCTAATGAAGGGAAGCTGGGCCAAAATTGGGAAGGACCTTACCGTGTCCTCGGAATAATTGGTAAAGGCTCCTATAAGCTCGGTACCATGGAGGGCGAACAACTTTCGAGCAACTGGAATGTATCGATGCTTAAACAGTATTACTGCTAGGGCGGTCGAATATGGAACCCCGCAAATATCTTCGAACGGACGTCGTACTCTTTTCCTTCTAAATCTTTTCCCCAAGCGGGTTTTTTGTCAATAAGGTTTTTAATGAGGAGACATCCTGCTTTTATCCAGAAGGATCCAAGGAACCCACAAGGCTTCTTTCACGATCAGCTCCGCCCCAAGGACAAAACAAGCGAGGCCCCGATCGAAACACTGTATCGGGCAGGACATACATCAGGCAATCAAAAGATATCTTTTCAATGCATTACTCTTCGGACCAAGAAATCTCAAGCGTATCCCCGTCATGGGGCCTCCTCCAAATGCATTCCGAAATACTCGGAGACTTAACGCCTGCAATAGGGCATTCGCACAACTCTAGGACCGGAACTCCGGGCTCGTAAAGCACAAAAAATGCAGCTCCGAGTTCACAAGAAGCGGTATTCACGCTCAAACAACTTGATGACTTTGAGACTGACGGCAATCGCAATATTACGTCGCTGAAAAAACTGTAAGACCTCAACAGGCATGACAAACTGTAAGACCTCAACAGGCATGACAAACTGTAAGACCTGAACAGGCATGACAAACTGTAAGACCTCAACAGGCATGAAAACCCCAAAGTTTAGGCTATACGTCGCATTTGTAAGAATTCCGAAAGGGCACACCCTCGATGTAGATGCCTAAACTATCACTCGGGATGAAAAACGGCTACGGCCGAACGCACATGACTACGGTCAAATTGGCTGATACAGCCAAAATAACGCAACTCGATGCCCGACCGTCACTAAAATCACAGGCCACTACTTCGAATACATTTCGGAAAGAACCGGTTAAAACAGGCTTCCCTCAATAGGCAAACAACGGGCTATGAACCTTCCGAGGTGCCCGAACTATCACCGATTACGACTTGAAATCGAGGTTCCTCTAGAACCGACGACGGGTCAGGCAAGAATCTTTCAAAAAAGACCTTAACGAGCGGAAAACAAAGCCTACAAAAAGCCCACGGGCAAAAACAACGTAAGAGCCATAGTCGCCAGCTAAGCAAGCCTACGGGCCATACAGTAATAGGTCTCTACGACCAAAAAAGCGTAAGAGCCCTTGTCACCAGCCAAATTGGCAACTTGAGGATTAAAGTGAGCTCGAATCCTAACTCGATTCGGAGACCGGATCCAAAATAGTTAACTAAACAAGCCTACGGGCCACACATCAAAAGGTCTCTACGACCAAAAAAGCGTAAGAGCCCTTGTCGCCAGCCAAAACTGACAGCTGTCACGCCCCCTTTTTCTCGCGAAATCGATTTGTGACATTTTGGAAGACAACTCGTTCCCTTTTTGGAATTGGGTTTTGAATTGAAGAGTCGACACCTAATGATTTAAGTGCATTAGGACACTAAGAGATTGGGAAAGGGCTTGAAATTATCCCGAGGGAAAGGTCTTAGGCACCCCTCAGGATCCACTAGTGTGGTTCCCAGCCAAACTATTGTTGTGACTTATGTGCAAATAACACGTAGGCAAATAAAACTTCAAGTAAGAGGGGATTTTCACATAATGGTTATAAAATAAACAAAGTTAGAAAGAACGAAAGGGATACTGGTTTTTCCTTAGAGAAATAGTTTAAAATTTGAAAAGAAGCAAAGAATCAAAGAAACAAAGGGAAGCGGGGGTCCTAGGTTTATAAATAATATGGATTACCCCACACAACATCCGGTAATCACTCCTCAGTGAGGGGCTACACTTGATGTTATCGCGTGGTCATCATATCCATATCTACCCTTTGCCACCCCGTTAAGGTATTAAAGCACGGAATGGTCTCATTTGCTTATTGCATGCTTTTATCCGCCCCAATCTTGTCAGTCCCGGAGGTACTTGGGACTGCTAATCCTAAAGGGAGGAGATATTGGCTTATTTGTGGTTTCAAAAGGTAAAATACTAAGGCAACAGGCAAAAACACATATAGCAAGTTTGGGGAAAGCATATAAACAAATAAAAGGCTCAGATATACCTCCTTTGACAGAGAAGCACATAATTTTAGCACGACTTACACATACTGTTTAGGGTCTGATTAAAACTTAAAGGTTGAGGCGGACTGATTTATTACATAGTTCAGATAAGAAGCCCGAAGCAGGCCTACCCGTTGGTTGTAGCTAACAAAAAAAAAATCTGTTTCAGTTTATAATTTTACCCTAAGGCTTGCCTAAGTGTTGGACGAGGGTCCTATAGGCATGATATCTACTGATTTCAGAAAACAATGAAATCAACTGAATGCGTACTGATTTAAGAAAGGTTGCCAGATTATTAAAGGAAGACAAGTTTTAGCAAAAGGTTATAGGTTCTGCAAATGGTAACACATCGTTATTACTGGTTTTAGACTTATAAGCGAGTGAAGCGATTCAGACTTGATTAATAGCTCCTATAGACATGCTTTCTATGCGTTGTTGACTTTAAACCCTTTCATAGACATGGTAAAATGCTGAAAGCCTATAAACATGATATCTAGGTGCTGAATTTTATTTAAAGGCTATGAACATGATATCTAATTGCAGTTGATTGAATAAGACCTATAAACATGATTACCTGATGAAGAGTGTGTATGCAAGATTCAGAAAGACCTACAGGCAAGTTATCTATATGAGAGTGCAGAAATTCAGAAATAACCTATAAGGTAGTTATCTATATGAGAGTGTAGAAACTTAGAAACTCCTATAGGCAAGTTATCTATATGAGAATGCAGAAATTCAGAAATAACCTATAGGCAAGTTATCTATATGAGAGTGCAGAAGTTCAGAAACTCCTATAAGCAGGATATCTACCCCTTTTGCATACATGGTTATCCCCTCCCTTTTCACTAGCCATCTCCAAGAGTTTATTACAAAATTATTACAACCCAGAATGAAGATAAAAGAAAATACATCAGAAATTAAAAAGGTACAACCAAGGAGAGCCTGATTCAGGCTTCCTGTCTGAAGTATGAAGTAAACCAACTCCAAGAGATCATGTTTCAAAGCCTTTCTCCCATTTGGGGTGTGTCAAATTTCCCTAAGAGTCTCATATGAACTCCGGGCAGTGCTTACACCCAAATGTATCACCAAATTAAGGCATAGTGCAGTGTAGAAGGGCCAGCCCTCAGGTGTCCAAGTTCAGAGGGAACTTAAGGTCCCAAGGCAAGGCTCACAAGAGGGGGGGCAGAACTTAAGGACTAAGAGAGAGTGCACGTGCAAAAGCAGAATTCTGAAAGGGGAAAGGGAAAAGGGAAACAGCTTAAATCAGTACACATAAGGGTATAGGGGAATGGGGGAGTTGCAAGAGGCAAAAAGGCAGGCTGATGGGCATACCCAGTAATGGGAGATGCTGGCACACCCTTAGGCCTGTTAGAATATATTGTTTGGAGGTTAATACCCCCATTGGATCAAACTTAATTCATGGACAACAACTTACATTGCCATGCCTTAAGTCATAACTCAAAGCACATAGGGGTGATAGGGGAATGGAGGTTCATAACAAACAATACAGAAGGAAATCAGCATACCAATTTAAGTGTTGAGATATACAGAAACAGCAAGCAAACATGGACACACAAGCAGTAAATACACATTGTTGTAGTGCTAAAAATTAAATCCGGACATACCAGTTTCAGAGAAACAAATAAAGAAAAAGCAGTAGGTCTTGTGAACGGGCCACAGTGCAGACAAGAAGAGAAAATTATTGTGCGTGAGTATGAGTTCAGAAGGATTCTCAATGTCTTGAGTTTGTGAAAGAGTCGTGCCTTTATAGTGTTGAAAACCAGACAAAAATAAGGTAAGAAAATAGTTAAGGAACTGAGTATCAATTAAGCATCAATTACACAAGACTTCCCTTAATTAAGGGATTCAGATTCAAACGGGAAAACTATTTAAGGGAAGAAATCAAATAATCATCTTGTACAAAGCATACAGTTAGGGGCAAATACATAAAAGTTATTTAATGACAGAATTTTGAAGTACACGGTTGTACAAATAAGGTAAGAAAATCAGTCAAAAGCCAGTAAATCAAAGGTCAGGGATCTTGTAATCACTGGTCCATGAATGAACCAAGTAAGAAAAGTTAAGGAAAGTCAAATAACTTAAATCGAGTCATAGGGAAATCAGACAAACAAGGAAAGCAATCAATCAATCCTATACAGAAGGAAGTCTGAAAACCATTTTAGAGGGGAAGTTTCAGTGCTTATAAGAGCATACAAACATGTTAAGAAGAAGTCGT